TCTTCAATTTTTACATCATTGGCAATAGTGGTTGTTGTGTAAATCTGAATAATAGTCTTATGAACTGGTCTTCCTTGTAGGCATATGGTTATTATCCCATTACCAACAGCGGTGTACTTCAGGATAGATCTTGAAGTGTTCTTTCGATGATGAATGAGATGCTGTTCCTTTTCAATTTGTCATTCCCACTATAGTAGATCACATGATTGTCCAATACAAAATAACCAATACCAGTCCATTTCAGCTCACTAATGCCTAGGATATCTTTATGCGTTCCATTTCATTTTTGATGACTTGCAATTTTCCTAGGTTCATACTTCATATATTCCAAGTTCCAATTACGAATGGATGTTTGTAGCTGTTTCTTCTCATTCTGCATCTTGCCACATCAGCAAATGAAGGTATAGAATATATACTTAATATAATACAATTCTGCATCCAACTCTTTTACTTCTTATTATCTCATGAGCATGATATTTGTAAGATCTGTTTTAAATGGCTATGCAATACCCCATGCAGTGATGAGACCGAAGAACTTGAAGCTAGATAAGAAGTGCTCTGCTTTTAAGGAATATCTAGGAGAAGTGGCTTCACCTTCTCATAGGTAATTCATAAGACTTCTGCCAAGAAGAAGATAGGCCCATGTTTGTGTTGGTTTGAGACCCACACGTCCCAAATATGTCCCCTGCTCATTTCATTCACCATTGGTTCAGACCCTGGCACTCCATTAAGTCTAACAGAAGGTTGGCACCAATCCTCCCACAGTGGTTATCAGTGCCCTCTGTCTTGGGAAGATCAAGTAGATTCCAACACTGCTCCCAGTTTCCATCTACCTTGGAACTGAGGGTTAACCTGGAAATTTGGGAGAATTATCTTAGGGTCTGGCTGACTGGAAAGTCAACTCCAGGTCACTGCAGGGCCACTGGCTTTTCCTTGGTAAGATTTTAGAGGAGATAAAAAGAACTGAGATTTGCAGTCAACTGAATGGGGAGAGGAGGAGGAACTCCACACATGTCCTTGGGGTTGTGCTGGGCCAGATGGTTTGGGGTCAGGGCTAGATGGTTTGGGGTGAGGTTGGAAGCAGGTTGTCCTGGTGGAGTGAGGTGAACAGCCCCCAATGGCAGCAAATTCCTGATCAGACACCTGTGGCCAGCAGGTAGTCAGCAGCGGCAGATCTCGCGGGGCCTCCAGAAAACGGTGGCCGCGAAGGATAATCAGAGGAAGGCCTGGCAGGCTCTGAAAGGAAGCTGAAAGGGAACTTTACAACTATGTACAACATCTCAATGACATCTTTAATACGAGAAATTTGGAAATACTGTGAAGTTTCTCAATAGCTGACCTGCTATCACCAAGAAATGGAAATTCTGAATTCATGCTGCCCTTTGGAATAACTGGAATATTCTGCTGTGAGAAAATCACAAACTAGGAGATGACTCATTCCCTGATTCAGAACGAAAAACCACGACCAGACCTTTCATCCCAGAGGCAGGAGTAGCAGCCAGGCCCCGTTTTATATTCACACCTACATGTCTCTCCACAACCTCTGAGGATGTTTGTAAATAAAAAAAACAACTTACCTGCCCCTTTTCACAAAATAAGTGAAAACCGTATGTGCTCTTAAAATACTTCTTTCAAGAATGAAGCATGTTTTTCCAAAAATCAGCTGGTGGAAACCGGATAGGGGTTACAAGGGTCGGTCCCATTGGGTCACCAAGAATCAGGGAGCCAAGTGGGTGACAGCAAACAACAGGCTCGTTTGTAACCTGGAGTCTCAGAGACGTCATGGCTCGGTAAACACACGTGCACGCTCACACATGTGCATGCACACACACACACAAGCACATAAACTCACATGCCCATAGACACACCGCCCTCTGGCTGAAAAAATAGGGTGGGGTTTAGAAAAACACTCTGTGGCGAAGTCACAGTTGAGTGTCCAGAAGAGTGGTTTATACTCAGAGGCAGAGGGAAAAATTACATCCGGAAGCTAGATTTAGGCTGCAGGCAAAAAGCTGAGCCATCCAGTGCTGGACGCCAGGGAAAGCCTCCCACAGGATGCCCAGAGCAGAGCCCGGGGGGCACACACCTCTCACTGTGCCGGCCTTCTACCTTCCTCCAAGCACTGACTTGCAGTGGGTTTTCTGAGTTTACAGAATTTAAGTTGTACTTTAATTGAATGCTCCTGGTGCTATAAACTGATTTGTTTAGTCTTTTCAACAAACTAAACTCAGTGCTTTTGAGTAGACTCCGATTCATAGCGCCCCTCCTTGGATTTCCGAGGCAGTATCTCTAATGTAAGTAGATTGTCCAATCTTCCTTCCGAGGAGTGGCTGGTGGGTTTAAACCACCAGCCTTCTGGTTAGCAGTCAAATGCCTTAGGCACTATGCCACTAGAGCTCCTTACATTGCCTCACATTGGGGAAAATGAAGCCTCTTGAATCTTGGTCCGGGTTGGCTGGGAAGTAAGTACAATTTATAAGGGCCTAGCAGCTGTCCTTTGAAGGCAATCAATATTATTCTATTGCACACCTACTATGTGCCAAGCCTGTGTTATCCACCGTATGTATCCTCTCCTATTCCATCTTCCCATCATCTGCAAGGTAGGGATTCTCACCCACTCCACAGTGAGGCAGACTGAAGGCCATGGC